GGACAAACAATTGAGTTGTTGTGTGTACAAACGTTTCGCTTCTGTGGTTTTATTTTTTAGGACAGTTTTTTAAAATTTGCACGCTGTTTTGATCATCTCACCTACTCTGATTTTTTTTAAAGATTAGTAGCTGATAAAGTCACTGGAAAACACTCATTTGTATACCGAAAGTAGATTCTAGCGCAATGTCAAGTAATGTCTGTCATATCATCCGTAATAGGGACTTATGGTGGAAAAATGTACATATTTGGTGGATATCTTGGAACTCAGAACATGCACTATGACGATCTTTTCTCCTTCGATCCACAAACAAATCACTGGGAGAAGATTAAGGTATTTTTCTGAAGCCTTTTTTGCAATAACTTAATCTCCCAGCTATTTACTTGTAGACATCTGGCCCAATGCCATCGGCCCGTCGACGTCAATGCACCGTTGTCGTTGGGAGCAGGGTATTCTTGTTTGGTGGGACTATGTAAGTTTTTTTTTTTAGGTTTATTTATATCTGTGAGGTTACTTTAACTTTTTATCTATGATCCAAAAGTTTTTTTTTTCTTACAATTGATGCCATGACTTATTAATCTCAGCGGCCCCCATCTTTTATCATCATTTGGAAGAGCGGGTCGTGTGTTATTCAGAAACAGCTTACATCCCAAAAAACAAAATTACCAAGGCGAATCATAACATTTTTGCAAAGTTATAGTAAGAAAGGGTTGCTGAAAGGACATGTTAGGAAGGTTAAGGGTAGATCATTTGGAGTAATGACCTAGTCTACAATGGCAAGCTCGGTCAACTCTTATGAGTCCGCAATATTCTAGTAAAAAGCTTCACTTTTTGAACATACTTTATCTTTGGGAGATAGCAGTGGTTACAGTCACGAAGCCGGAGCGACCACAAAGTCTACACCAAGGTTTTCTGTTGTGATTGACAGCAAACTCCAAACCCAGTTCAATTAGAATAACAAAAACATCTTGTTTCTGGGTTCAGGCGGTTAGTAGGAGAATCGTTGGCTCATCCCAATCATTGCTCTCTTTAATCACTATTTGTTTTTGTTTATGCGAATGCGAATCATGTCTCAATGCTTCAAGGGAGTTGAATCTTGCCCAGAGACGTAGGGAATACTGGATCTAGCACGAGGATAATAAAGATCTCTTGTGGGAGTGCATCTTTTACAGTGGAAGGTCTGGAGTATCAAACGCGATTGTCTGTGAAATATTCTTATCACATAACATTTTCTGACCATTCAGAGTCGCATGAAAAATGAAAATAATCTTGGACGGACATTATTTCTGTTGTTATAGTCCTGAATCATTCTGTGAAATTTGCTGTGAAATTTTTCTAATTCTTCGTAAAATTTCAAGACCCA